GCAGAAGACGGGGGTATAGGGTAGTGTTGGGGCAGGTAAAGGGGAAAGGAAGGCCCCAATACAACGCCCATATCTTAACCGAGCAGAGAGCAAAGTGACGAGGGATTTGATACTGTCAGGGGTGGAGATCACATCAGGCAACAGCTTCTGCCCCACTCCAAAAGGCCCAGATGATTAATGATGATTAATGGTCATGGCATCAATCTAGCATTACTCCCAATGTTCAGTGGGAGCTAGTTTAATGCCGGGGTAACCCCAGAAGTGATCTGATAATGACCACGTAATGCGGCATTACAGCCGCACAACTGACCACTTTGGCAAGGGAGAGTGGTAAGAAGGGACCGTAACAACAAAGGTGGGGGCGTCGCTTTATACATCAAAGATGGCATACCATACAAATGTAAATCAGAACTAGAACAACCAGAAATCGAAGCAATCTGGGTACAGATACATCTACCCTTTGTCAAGCCTATTTCAGTAGGATGTATTTACAGACCACCAAAGTTTAACGCCAAAATTGACTACCTACACAAGATCACACAAATGCTTGACACAGCAGCACATGGCGATCAGGAAGTCTTAGCTTTAGGGGACTATAACATCAACTGGTCTGATACCAGCTGCCCCCTGAGGGGAAGACTTCACTTGGAATCGTCCGCACTCAACATGCAACAATTAGTGAAACAGGCGACAAGAATAGCTCCGACCAATGGCAATCACATATCTAGAACATGCATAGATCTCATCTTTTCTAATAAATCAGACACGTTTACCAACACAAAATCAGTCCCGCTAGGTTACACAGATCATAACCTAGTCCACACGACACGTAAAACCAAAGTACCGAAGGGACACCCTACTATCACTCTTAAACGCTCTTATAGTAAGTTTGACCAATCTAACTTCCTACAAGACATCGCATTAGTGCCTTGGCACCTTGTAAATAATGAAGACGATGTAAACGATGCCTTAAGTTGTTTCATGTCCTTGTTCTCACAAGTCGCAGACAATCATGCCCCAGTCCGGAAGAGATCTGTGAGGTCATCACCGGCCCACTGGATCGATGAGGACCTCAGAGATCTAATGAACATGAGAGATGACGCTAAAAGAGCGTGGTAGTCTTCTGGTTTTTCATCAGATCACGAAATTTACAAACGACTGAGAAATGTGGTAGTTAGAGAAAACAGGAGGAAGAAGAAAGAACACTACAAAGAATTAATAGAAACACATTGTAGAGACAGAAACAGCAAACAGCTCTGGCAAGTAATTAACGGCATACTGGGTAGAAACTCACGTAGAACCGCAACTTTCCTTGAGACTAACGGTAAGATACTTACAAAACCTAAGGACATTGCGGAACACTTCAATGAGTACTTCGTTAACAAAGTACAGAAACTTACAACACAAAGTCCTGTCGACATAGATAAAGTCACTGCACCGATTCAGGAGCTCATGGCATCAAAAAACTGTTCTTTTTCCCTTCATGGTGTAACAGTGGGCTATGTACATGATTTGTTAAACTCACTTCCACTCAGCAAATCCTCAGGGTTTGACAACATCGACAATACGCTATTGAGAATCGCCGCCGATTACATAGCGGGCCCAGTCTGTCACATTTTTAACTGCTCTATACGACAACAGATTTTCCCCACACAATGGAAAAGAGCTAAGATAATACCTCTTCCAAAGAACAAGGCTCTTCCTTTGACAGGCCCTAACAGTCGCCCGATTAGCCTTTTGCCTGCTCTCAGTAAAATACTGGAAAGAATATGCAACAACCAGATACAATCCTACCTTGTCTCCAATGCTATTTTGTCTGACCATCAGCATGCTTACAAACAGCATCATTCCACCGCAACTGCACTGATTGAGTTAACAGACAAATGGTTTGACGAAATTGACAAGGGGAACCTGATTGGCGCGGTGCTCTTAGACTTTAGCGCCGCATTTGATGTGGTTAACCATCAAATATTACTGGCCAAGCTGAGAAGTTACGGCTTTGCTGACTCAGCCGTCTGCTGGATGAGCAGTTACTTGAGAAACCGCATGCAGGCTGTTTATGTAAATGGCGACATCTCTGCTTACAAAGAGATCAATAGCGGTGTTCCACAGGGCAGTTGTTTGGGCCCACTACTGTTCTGTATATATACAAACGACCTACCCTTAGTTGTAAAACGCTGCGACATTGTACTGTATGCAGACGACACAACCCCGTCAGCTTCTGGCCCTAGTACCGCTGACATTCAGACCATTCTTCAGTCTGAACTGACACACATCAGCGACTGGGTTCAAGCCAACAGACTAATATTAAATGTCGACAAAACCAAGTCCATAGTCTTCGGAAGTAGACACAAACTAAAACACAAACCAACCCTACAGCTTTCAATGTACAACAAACCGATTGAACAGGTAGAGCAGGCGAAACTGCTAGGATTATTGATAGACCAGCAGTTAACCTTAGCACAACACCTTGACAAGGTTAAATCCAAAATGGCAAGTGCTCTAGCAGCAATTGCTAGATCACGTGACTTTCTCACAGGTGACACGCTAAAGACGGCAACTCAAACACTTGTCCTGAGTCATCTGGACTACTGCTCCTGCCTTCTATCGTCCAGTTGTCAGTCTAACCTGTGTGGGTTGCAGATTTTACAAAATAAGGCGGCTAGGCTTGTGTTAAATGCGGAGTATAACTGCAGGATCGACGAACTGCACAGTAGATTAAACTGGCCCAGAGTTAACGAAAGACTTTACACAAACACACTCTCCACGTTCCACAAACTCCTGACTACTGGCAAACCTGTTACTATCTACAATAAACTACGCAGAATCAACAACACACATCAACACAACACACGACTTTCACAGGCGGGAGGCTTTAGACTACCAAAACCCAGAACTTCCTCTGCTACTAAGACATTTCTGTACAGGTGCACAAAGTCCTACAACACTTTCCCACAACACATCAAATCATCCGCACCATCAGCTTTCAAAAAACACGTTAAGGACAGGTTAAAAACACAAACATACACAAACAGACCCCTGAAGCATTGGTGGTAACATTATGATTTTTAAATGTAAATATAGAACTTGTATGTATTATTTATTGCACTGACCTCTGACCTCTCAAACAATCTCTTACGTATACCTTATTACTTGTTGTATATAGGATAGGATAGGTTAACTAATTGCTACAGGTTGTTGTATTTTATGTGTGGCAATAAGCAACTGTATGTACGTCTGTGTTATAAGTTTGTAATGTTGTTTTTAAGACTCCAGGAAGAATAGTGAGTATAAGCGTATGCTTATACTCACTAATGGAGATCCTTCAAATAAACAAATAAACATCGTCTACCAGATACCTTTGACCCAGTGTTGACGTCACACTTCAAAGAAGCCACTTGACAAGCTTTACTGGGTCAGTCTACTGAGGAAGACCAGAGTAACTGGTCGAAAGCTCTAGGTGAGAGAATTTTTTGTGTTGGATCAAAAGTTTAACTTAAAACATGTAACTACCAACACAGATGAACTTTCATGATAAGAGGTTACCTTATTAAAACTGCAAAAAAAAAAAAACCATGGCAAAGATTTGCAGAGAATGAGATAGAATGAGTGCTGTCAAACTCACCTCAGTAGAGAGCGCCCACTTGACGTACAGGCCACGTACTCACACAGCTTCTTGTAGCAGTTGAGCAGGATGTGCTGTTGTCTGCATGGCACAAAGTCACGATACTCCGCACACCAACCACAGGGGGGCCGCAGGACCTTCCTCCCTCCCAGGCAGTTCCTGTAGGGCAGAGTTTCAAACAACAGGAGGGACAGAAACAAGGATGAGGCCTAGGAAAAAATGTTGGTTTGGGCCACATAGATTTAATTTGTTGGTTCTTGGATTTTTTCATATGAAAAATGAAGCGAAAGAGCGAAAAAAAATATGAAAACAGGTCAAGGCAATCCTATTATAGCCTCAAATGCTACGATAGGAGCCATGAAGTCAACAGAAAAGGCTGGCTTAATATTTAAACAATTAATTTTTAACTTTTAATCAAACCACTGCATTTATATAAATTATAGATGGAAAAACTGTAGCAACTGGGAAGAAAAGGACTTTCTTCAACTGTTGGGGGCAAAATGTGAGCATTTTTGAGTTGATTCAGAACCAGTCTGAGAATCTTTTTTTTTTTTTTTGCAAATCAGAAAAAATTAAGGGGAGAATCCGAGAACCAACAAATTAAATTGGTGTGGCCTTGGTTTGGTATTCTTTTAATGCCAACTATCATGATAGTGGGCATACTCATTTTCACCTGAGTGAGGTGAGGAAAGTCATGTCTAGTGCCTTTTCGAAGGGAACATAAGATTTGTGACTTGGCAGGATTCGAACCTGGGACCTCTTGGTTTCGAGCCAAATGCTCTGCCGTTACACCACATGACCCTCACTGTTGTGTTTCCTGTTTCAGTCATGAAATAATTAGATGTAGGTAACCGATAGGGATTTCCTTAGTTTTTTAGCAATCTCTAGTGTATTATGAAATACATGTTTAACAAATTACATGTAAAACTTGCATGAGGACAGTTATATTTTCAATATAAATGGTTTTTTTTTG